AAAAAAAAAATTTAAGAGATAAACGATTATATCCAATTTGTGAGAGAAGAGATGGATTCTATTATAGAATTTTTACTTTTCAACTAGACATAAGTATCTAAAAAATGATGCATTTATTTAACTTTTGATATAATTCTGCAATTAAATCAGAACAAGAGAAAGAGAGCGAGAGAAAGAGCATGAACTGAAAATAGAACAGGTATTCTTATTACGTGAAATCTACACCAAAATACAATTGCGTACGTTTCTTCTTAGTTTTCTGTGCGTAAATGATAGTGATTACTTACAAAACATCTGAGAGGATGTGTCGGTGGTTAGTAGAACTAGCAATACCGCGAACAGTAATAAGCTTCCTGAAAAGTAAATATTATACAAACGCTATATTAATTTCAGAGAATGTAATTATAACCCAATTTATGTGAGCGATCTTAAAAGAGAGACCATATAGATACGTGCCATTCACAGAAATTAATAGCAGTATCACATAACACATAACTGTTTAATATTAAATTTTAAATTATAAGAAAGTGGCTAAAAGTTTAACAAAGGTTACAAAATAAAAACATACAGCCACAGCTTTCGGTCAAGATTTGACCCTCTTCAGTACACAAATTCGTTAAGTTTAAACAAAGAACATATTTTTACGAATAACAAATTGACAGATAGTATAATTTTAATATTTCCTATTTTTACAAATTAGTCCGACTCAATATACGTGATTAAAAATTACATTTGGATCAATCAAATACAAAATTCGAAGGATGATTGTAACATTTTTATTTCTTTATCCGAATTATACGCAATCGTTTTCGTTTTGTCTGCGATAATAGTCATCGAAATTCTATGGATAGAAGTCTCCTATATTTGCAAGTTTTTCGACCGAAACGTCTACATGTTAAAATAAAATAATAATATTGAACTTATTGATATCTTGAGCTGTGGCTGTATGCTTTTTATTTTGTAACCTTTGTTTAATATTAATTATTTCAACGCGGCGTTGAATATTGAATTAATTATTTAAATATACATTTGTTCAATAAGAGTTTAATTATACATTTACATAATTTATTTAATAGAATTAACCTAGTGCTTTTGCTCGAATTGCTAAACACTTAAAAGCGTACTATAATTTTGACTTATGTTAATGATATTACATGAAAGTCGTGTATTACATTGTCGAGAAGTGCGTAGCATCTATAACTTTTAAGATTGCACAGTTTAAATACTCACGATTCATCATGAGTCGTTGGTTTCTTGGATACTCGATTAAAACTTCGCGGTGAGGTTCCGACGAGACTTCTAGATACACAATAATAAAAACATCAGCTTTTATAACGCTTTCCACCTCTCTGATATTGATCGAGTATGTGACGAAAGAAGAATATACATGACGAGTAAATCATAATTTGTGCCTTAGTAACTCGCTATAGCATGGATTCATGAAAGTCTTCACGATACCGTTTATTTGAACTCGAGCGTTTTTTCTCTCTTTTTTCATATATTACATCATGATGATATTATGCATCGCTAACCGTCTTAATCACGTAATTGGCATTACAGTTTTAGCTGTTAACGTTGTAATAACAACAAAATATACGCGTTCTTTTTAAAATCGAGCGGTAACATTGATTACTGTTGTCGCAGTTACGCTGAAGGTCCATAACTTATAATTTACATTTATTTTGATTTATTTTAATTTAGCTAGAAGTACTTACTTAATTAATATTTATATTTATAATTTGTTTCTATGTTTAAAGAATAATTTGAATTGAGGAAAAATTCTGATATCTTTTTTTAGATAAGATGATATCTTTATAATAATCACGAATTATTTTTAGTTATTGATTAAAAGTATAATTATAGAATCGTCTTCATAAATCTTCTCGTTATTTCGTGCTTTATAAATAGTTGTAATTTAATGTATTCTAATTTAATACTTATAGTTGTTCAATCTTTGTTTATTGCCTCGAATTTCGAATTGATTAGTCAAATAAAGCAAGGCTATAATTATGTGGTAATTACAATACATAGAGTTGATGTAGATGTGCAGTTCGCTTTGTTTATCAAATTAACTACTAAAATATTTACTTAAAATATAATATATTAAAAATAAAGATTAATGTAATTAAATGCACATTATGTCGACACATATTTATATACTGAGGTGAGGAGTTTGAGTCATAATAATATATCTATCTCTCGTAATAAGTGCGTTTTTCTTGATATTATTTCTTACATAATCTTAGGCTTTCTTTATATCAGTCTGTCTATTAGAATTATCGATTAGTAAAGATTTATTAAATGATCCTCTGGGATGCATAACTAAATTCCTTTTAGTAATTTTAATTACATAAATTTTTTATTATTTTATTTTGTTAATGTTCAATAAATTTATCTGGAAATGCGACAGATAAAAACTGAAAAATAAAAATACAAATTATTTTCTTAATTGTGTACATGATAATTTAATAATTTTTGCTAAATACTTAAATTTTAGGTGACAAAAATATAATTGCAGCAATTACGCAATTATATTACTAAATATAGTATACTTCCTTATTATATCAAATTGCAGACAAGAAGATTATTGATAGATTGCTTGTATAAAAATTAATTATTGTAAATAATATATAATAAAATATATATATAATTGTACATATTAAACACGTTAAGTTAGTAAGAAATAAAATTTATTACTAAAAATTATTTTATTATTTAATGAGATAATCGTTATGAAATTAGTGCTAGATTTATTAATTATTATATAAATGTAATAGGCACATAAAAATCGAGATTACGGATAGTAATCAATATAATCATTTCCGAAGCGCGAAACAATTGGATTTTCGACGAATTCGGGTACTTCTGGTTTTTGACAAGCTAGGGCTCCACATCTATTTTTGCAACATTTTAATGTCCCTTTGCAATCGTTGTCGCCATTACAAGTCGATGTGCATACCCATCTTCCTGTCGGTACCGATGGACAAGATCCTGGTTTCTCTGTTCAATAGATTTAATTTTTTAATTATAAACTTGTAAACTTTATTATTAATTTATTGCGCTTTTCTATTAATATTGTTACAATATTCTAGTTATAATACACAACACAATAATTATGACAATAAAAAATTGCCAAAATTGTAACTGTTTAGAAAAAGAAAATAGTTTCCTCTCTAAAAGTTTTTTCTTTATAAGTTGCAATAGAAGTGGAAAAAAATTATATATAATACATTAGAGCCAAATATTTTTTAAAAATATGTTGATAAAATTATATAAATTTTGTTTCATTATAAAGTTTACCATTAGTGCAATATTAAATTTTGTAATAAAATAATAATTGTTTAAAAATGTTGGATCAATGTTTCTCTTTCAGATTGATAAATCAGGCACATCGTATCGAAGAAATTACTCACCTGTTTGGGATCGCGTCATCGTGACGGGCATGGAACAAATGGAACCGCCACATTGAGTCTGACAACATTTGCCAATTCCCGCGCATTGTGCGTCAACGTAACAGGATCGTCTACAGAGCTGCAGAGGTAAGGCAGGTGGACACGACCCTGGTTTGGTCGCGTATCCATTTTGTGTTTTCGCAATAGTGATTATCGCCACAAAGACTAGAGATACGACTAGCAATCTCATTTTTTTGCCGGACGCACTTGTGATTTTGCGTGTTAGGAGCTATGCATGACAAATATTTCATTTTTTATTAGAATAAGAGTAAGTTGAAAAGTTCGATAATTTGATCTGCTATAGATGTTAAGTAGTAAACTTGTGTAAAATTACCAAATTTTAATTGAAATTTGAAAGTATTATGAAAAGATGAATTTTAATAATGTTTTATGACATAATTTTAATAATTAATTTCAAGGATAGTAGAGAGAAACAAAAGAATATAAATAAAAGCTTATTTTAAAAAAATGCATTAAACATTTTTTATCTTGTAATATTCTCGTAAGCTACACTCGTATTAGCAATAAATTAAATTGTGTATATATATTTTTTCTCCACGATGAAATAAATATTTTAAATACACTTTTCAGAATAGCGTCTTTGTAATGTTTCTTTTTTCAATCTTTATACTTCAACAAATGTAGAATTTCAAAAATATTCATTATCCTTTTTTTTTATTGCTTATACTAATTTATGGAAAAACAGAAGGAAAGAATATTAAATAATTCACGTTCATAGATTAATCTGGAAGTTATATACAACGCAACACTAAGAGATCGCTTATACTGGTTTATCTTCTTTTGTTCATCTGATCTTCGACATTCGCGTTTCACTGTTTTATGATAATGCGTAATACACTACTCGTACAAGAATTAATATAGAAGTGCGGACGGAAGAAACCACTCTCTTCACATAAAACATACACTTGAAGTATATATGCAATTTGTTTATGTCGTACTTTTATACTCGAGGAATATAACTGATAGTAAAGGTGACCAATGCTTTCACGTTTTTGCAACTCAATAGAATGGTACTTCTGATATATATGCTCGTTGTCGCCAGCTTCGTCTTTCCCCTTCCACAAGCAACATTAAACATCTCATCATTTATTCCTTCGCAACTTTATAACGCTATATATACGTATTCTATTAATTATTATAATTTAAAACGAGTATTATTTATTTTTGAACAATTTTACTTTCTATTTTTTTTCGATATAGTTTTATTAAAAATTAGATGCATTTTTTACATTTAATATTTCTTGTGATTATGTGCTGTAGAACTGCTTCTGTTTTAGAAATTATTATTTCTTCGTAATATGCCTATAGTTACGTCGTTGAATGTGATTGCTATAATCGGATAGCGTCGGTGGTGAACCATAACCGCAAATGTAGTTAAAGCTTTAATTAATGAGAGTCCTAATTCAATCGAACGGAAGGACGCGGTTTTGGTATAAAACCGTTTCCTTCATAATGAGATTTCCTTTATGATAAAGGATACTATTTTAAGTTATTTTTGTTTCAATTTATTATTATACTAAATGTTAGAACATGTTGTTTTTAGTTTAAAGTTAAATAAAACGAATCCTTTTTTTCTTTTCTTGATAAAAATATCGAGATATTAATAAATATGAATACACTTAAGTGTATAAATAAAAGAAAAATGAAAGTACAAGTTGAGATATGAATACGCTTAAATAAAGCGTATAAATAAAAGAAAAATAAAAATACAAGTTGAGCCTTCGAGATATTAAACTAATAACAATTAAAACGCGGGCAATTGAGAGCTTTAATACGCAGTAATTAATGCGATTATATTTTCAAACGTAATATATTTCATTATATGGATAAACATGTTATTCCCCTTATAGAAATGAGATATTGCAATATCAATAACTATTATTGGATTATAATAGTAATTATTCGCTCTTTAATAATAATTATTTATTATCAAATAATCGGATTGCTGACAATGATCACCAATAGTTTCTGACGGAGTGATTATTGATCCCCTAATCAGATTATTTAGAATAATCATTCCTCAATAATTTTTGACTGAGTGATTATTGATTTTCTAATTAGATTATTCATAATGATCATTACAACGCATATTTTAACTATAGCGATATATTTTAACGTGAGCTTTTTAACAATATCTATTGACCTAATATATATCACGCATAAAGAGAGAAACTTGTATTAACAAATGTCATCATTCCAGCCTCGTATTTATTATTATTGCGTCTTTTGAAAAGCAAATAGAGATGCATATGTGAATTAATAAAAACTAGATTTCAGAATGCTCTTATAATTTTTACTAGTACACATACATAAATATAAAATCAAATATTCGGCGGGTGTAATAAAAAATACATACAGTATCAAATATATTTATGGTTACGCACTAATCTTAAAAATTAATGATAAATGCATTCATGGTACTCAAGCCTCTCTGTACCTGAGAAGTCGAGATAATAAAGAGTGTGTAATCGATTTAATTCTAATTACTGTTAATTAATTATCTATCTATAATATTGTTCTTATGCTACACACAAATGGTACGATATTTTTGAAATTTGAATTATATGTTTGTACGGACATAATCAGAGGGAAGTAAACCAGGGAGTATAAAGATACATCTGTAATCTGCAAACGTTTGCAACTTAGCATTCTACTATTGTTATGCAAACGAGTAATAAGACAAGCGTGACACGTTGTCGATTTATATGTATACATTATATATATCACATCGTATATACAATGCGTAATAATAAATAAAGAAGCATATCATAAATTTTTATGCTCGTCTGTATTCTCTACTTTCTCTTTTCTATATTAATGATTGATTCCTTTGTATTAAATTTCGTTTACGTCCCTGATTATCTCATCTTTGTCTTATATCTATCACGTTCCTTGTACATAGGATTCAAGAATGTTCATTTTATTATACAATTTACGATCTCAGTTTGAATCACGTATCTCGAAATTAATGAACGTATTATATAATTAACTCTGATATATTTTAATCTTTGCGAAGGGAGTAATCGAATTAACATTACTAGCTTGCATGATCAATATCGGACGGGTGGATATGTTTTTGAGAATCTAAATTCTCGTTGCATATATAATAAAAATAAGATTGATCAACGGTAATAGCGATAACCATTGTCTCGCTCTTAACATGATTATACTTTTATACTCAAAAAGAACAATTTTGCACTGAAGTATCTAAAAATTTAGTTAAATACAAACTAACGCTTCTAAATAATTTTGTTTAAATCAGCAAAATTATATAGGATGTTCAAATTGATTGTTCAGAATGTTGAACTTTTTTGCAGCATCATCAACTCTTAAGTTCTATATAATTATTTTGATGGCCCAATAAAATTATTTTCAGATCTGTATTTAGTTAAATTTTTAGAGTCAAATGTTCTTTCCGTATAGATACATGCATATATTATGCCGCATACAATTATTGCGAGTAATTATAAGACACTTATAAATTTTGTTGGTTAAATAAATACTCAAGTTTTTTTTATAATTATAGATTATTTTATATCAAATCCGTTTTCGATGAATTTTACTATCTATTGTAATTGCAACTGAGAAATAAAAATTAGTAATTGAAATGTACGTACATAAATATTTGTTGATAAGTTTTTTATGAACATTATACATCATGTCTTTTATGACTAAAAAATTACAAGTAATAATAAAATATTATATATATATATTGTTTTTTTTAAGCACACACATAAAAGACGTGATATATAATGTTCATAAAAACTTACCAACAAATATTTATATACGTACATTTTAATTTCTGATTTTTACATTTCAGTTGCAATTACAATAGGTAGGAAAAATTCATTGAAAACGGATTTGATTTAAAATAATCTATAATCTATGAAAAAACTTGAGTACATATATAATTATACTTATTTTTTATATATATTCTCTATTTTAATTGTAATATTTTTACGTCGAGATTATTACGTGTTTGTTTATACATCGTAATTAAAATGTATAATTTTTTTATTCGTTATTTTTCAAAATCATAAAATTGTGCATTGTATATTATAGCACTAAGGAAATTGATAGAATTCATATTCTAACAAATTTGATTAGTCTATACGTCAATGTGTGATATAAATAACTCTGCAGTTTTCCAAATGCTTTGAGGATAAAGTCACTAAATAAGGACTTTTTCTCTCGCAGTTACATTCGTATGAGTCACTGATATCTTTTTCAATTACAGCTCATCAGAAATTCCCGTAATCTTTTTTCTTGATCTTTGCAAGAAATAATTTTTAAAGAATTGAAATTTGTTGCAACGGTTCAGTGATTTATTTTACACATTTCAAGAGATTTAAAGCTTATCTAAATATGCTAATCTTAAATTGAATACAAATATACAGTTTAGAAAAAGAGCTTAATTTCATTTATTCATAATAACTGTGTTAATAATTATTGCATAATTATTTATTAAATTTTATTACAAATTTTATTTAAAATTTGCAATTTCTTTCGTTGCAAGAATGAAACAAGGGAAATTTGGAAAAAACAACAAAAGAATGTTGTTGTATAATCTTACATTTTAATATTTTTATATATTTTTATTGACTTGATCGTACTTAGTTTTGCTTTTGCAATTATAAAAGTCGCGTGAAATTATACGGTATGGAAAGTTGTACCTCGCAGTGGCACGGGTGGTGCTGGCAACTTCTTTGGTATGGCGCCGAGAACCTTGGCAGCATCGTGACTCATATTAACAGCAAGGTTCATATATTCCGGCATTTTAGTCTCGGTGATCTCATTCATGTTTTTCGAAATGTTCGCCGAATCCGTCGGTACGTGTTCCTCATCGCGTATTGTCTCTGTAGTCTCTTGACCTCGAAGCGCAGAGTCGACCTCGTCAACGGTACATTGAGCGAATGGTGGTTTCACTTTCGTGATGTTGGAACACGCCTCGACGGTGTCATTAATGTGTTCTTCCACGGCTTCCCGATCCACGTGAACAGAATCGTTGGACGTCGATTCGTTACTAGTGTAGTCTGGGATGCACATTCCTGTCGGTGCGATTGGAGTGAAAATCAATGCCGCCGGATCGATGTTCGTGTAGCTATTGTTGCTAGCAAGTTTTGTCGCCTCGATTTCTTCCTGATGTTTATCCGATGAAACGGTGACGTTCTGGACGAAGTCGTGATTATTATTCATTGGATGTTCACATAGTGAATTTGGTGTACCCGGTTCTCTCGAAGAACCGTCCGTTTTAAACGCTATGAAAATTGAATTGAAAATTATTTATTTTTGTGATCTTAATTATTTCTGTAAATGTAGTTGTCTAAGTGACTAGGTGCATCTTTAATAACTAAAAGCGTTTAAAAAGTATTGTTGAGAGATATCTGAATAATGAATTTTTGAATATTCTTTTTCAATTGCTATACTGCTCAGAATAATTAGAATAATTAATGATGCTTGAAATAAATAGGAATGAGAATATTAGATTTTATTAATTTACCATGAACAGGTAATCCCGACGGTGGAAACGCAATGTAATACTCATTATCGTTGACTCTGGATGGTGACTGTGTTTGTCGGAGATCAAGGTCGCACGCGATAGAGAGACTCGGTGATGGGGAATACCCCGGTGAGTACCTGCCTGTGAAAGGTTTAGGCGCAGGTGGTATTTCGTAGGATGTCATCCCAGTTTTCTCATCCCTGACATTCTGGAGCTAAAAATAAATTGTAGATCTAAATTAACAAAATAAAAAACATACACTTATTGTTATTTAATTCTTTTCAATACGTAATATCTTCTAAAGATTATATTTTGTTCAAATATAAATTAATAGCCAATTTTGGATAAGAGAAAATGTGTGTGTGTGTGTGTGTGTGTGTGTGTGTGTGTGTGTGTGAGAGAGAGAGAGAGAGAGAGAGAGAGAGAGAAAATAAAGATTTTGAACCAAAAATAAAAATTCCAGCAACTTAGTGATTATCGTTTTTTTCTATACTTGATCGATAATTATTTAGCTAAATTGTTTATGTCTGATTTGTAATATTTCACGTACTCTTCTGTCCTCGGAATCGGAATGAGTTCCACTGTCGCCCAAGCTTGCACCGCTGCAACCGCTAACAGTGCTCATTCTACCAGATGATGATGAACCTAAGAAATTTTGTAGAATTATACAAAGTGCATAAAGTGTTTAATTATATAACAATAGTATAAGTTGTAAAAGATCTTTAAGTATACATTCAATTCTGAATCATTTTCTAAATATTTTGTAAGACTCTCTTAAAGCTTTTGAACTTATTTTACAAAAATTCTTTTAAGGACATTCTGAATTATTATTTAATATAATCTATTGAATAATTAGCCAATGTAATTTATTATGTTATATTTATTTACTGGAGACACTACGAAGACTTAAACTGCTGACAGGCCGGCGATCAGCTAATCCGCCGTTAATACTTTCGGATTTGTTCGTAGAAGAATCAGTGGCAATTCCAGCAGACTCTTTTGTTTCTATAATAAAAATTAGACGGAAAATTTTTCAGTTATTTTATCTCGGAAATCAGTTATAAATTCTAGGGATATTTTAAAAGTGACCTTTCTTTCCTTTGGAGAAGAACTTTCGTATCTTGTCGAAGGGCGTCGGAGTCTTCATCTCTTCTTTCATTTGTTTTTGTATTTTGTCGTATTCCTCTCGCATTGCCATAAGCTGTCTTTGTTTGTCCTTAAAACTTTGCTGAACATCGTTTCGCTTCTGCCAATTTTCGACGAGCCTCTCCACTTCGGATATCGTAAAGACGTTGTTTTTGAAATCGTTTATGATCTCTAGAAGCTCGTCTTGGGGGCCTGACGGTTCTCTGGATTTGGTACTGCTGTTGGAAGATGTTCTGCCATAGGAAAGATTCTGACATATTTTCTGACCACAATTATCCTCTCGTGTTCCCAAGGAATTTTCCTGAGGACATTCCTGGCGAGTAGGTGTGTCTGTTCGGGACGGCGGATGATTCGTTGTATTCGTTGTAATTGTTTTTGAACCTTTAATTATAATTTCGTAGATTTACTTTTGAAAGTAGATAAAAATTAGATAAAAATTGAAATAAAATAATTGTTCTAATTTTTCAAATTATTGCATTTTTACTAATTATACATTTAAGAATGTAACACCAATAAATAAAATATATATTAGTATTTAAATATAATATTTAAATATTTGCAAATTACGTTATGATGAAGAGAATTCGTGGTAAAAGAGCCATCTATAAATTATATACATATATATATATATATTTATTATATAATAATTATCTGTAGTGAATTGTGTATATAACAGTTCAGGATATTTACCAGCAGCATGCATTTTCATGTAGTCCTGGAAAGGCGTATTCAATCCGTTTGATGTGACTGAGGTTGTGGACGTGGGTGTGGACGGCAGCTGGTTATTAATTACTAGCGTGGGCGTCGGTACAACCGAATAATTTGCGGCTAAAGGATTTGTGATCGTACTAGAGGTACTCGCTGTTTGCAGATTCGGGAGTAGAATTGTTACCGGTCTTGCAATCGGTGGTACTGAATAAGCCTCGCTTAAAGGCCTTGGTCGGCAATAATCTTCTTTTTCGTTATTGATTTCGTGTGTGACCGTCGAGGAGACGTCAGTTGAATTCGTTTCTAAATACACATTTGTATTAATTTCAAATTTCTCTCAAGACTTTTTATTGAGACCGACTTCTTTTTAAATTTTTTACTGAGTATCTTTAAATATAGGGCGAATCAGTATTTTTTGTGCAAGAGATATTTTGTGCAAAAAGTTATATAAAAAGTATAGAACTCACATAAAAAGATATTGATTCTTTTTTAATTTATAAGGCATTCATATACGTATATAATGATATTGAAAGTTATACGAATTTGAAGCAAACGGATTTTATTAATTTTTCAATTTACAATTTTGAAAATGGAACTTTGTATACAAAAATTGTATTTCATGGATTTAAATCTTTTTTTCAATGTAAAATTATTTCTTTTTGTTTGCATCAAATAACTTGTGTACCTATTATTGTGTACATAAAATCGTAATATAAATTTTAAATATCCTAGCTGAAGAAAACTTCGAAATTCTTAAGGAGTAACAGAATCATTGTATTTTCGTAATAATGTTGTAGCGATATGTTTCTTAATACCTGCTGATCGATTCGTTTGGCTTATAACTTTGAGGTAGCTGTACATGTTGGTGAACTCGTTCATTTGCTGAAGTTTTGCCCAGGGGAATCCAAAGTTACGATTGAAACATGCAATGTAGAATTAATTAATTAAATTAACTCATCAACCATTTATGGTTCAAAGATTATTAAATTAAGTGACATGCAAATTCGCGCGAATTTTTTCTCCGAAATATTTCTGCTTTGAAATAAGCAAAAGAAGTTCCCAGAAAAGTAAGATAGACTTCAAAAAAAAAAAAAAAAAAAATATTTCTATTTAATATATCAAAATAAAATTTACTTCTCTCTTACATTTTTTTTTATTCTTTAATCTCCAAATCAAGATTCAAGAATTCAAAATCTTATTATCACAATAAAATGCTTGAATCTTTCGAGATTAAATAAAGAAATAAATGAGAAGTAACTTTTATTTTAATATATGTATTAATTAAATAAAATTTGTATTTTCTTTTTCGAAGTGTGCATCTTACTTTTGGAAATTTATAAAGCGGATGCCTTGAGAAAAAAATAAAATATCGCGGTAGTACCGATTGTGTTCGATTATTTGCGACGTCGGTCTAAAGGTGAGGTTTTTGTACCATGTAGCCCTGTAGTTGATGGGCCAGTCTCGCGTGTCCAGCTTGCTCAGCAAGATCAGCCGGTGTTAGCTCGGAAACGTTTTTCAAGTCGCATGCCAGATCGCCACCAGGACATTCCAATAATTGCCACGCTAGTTTTTCCAGGCCAAAACGCGCGGCGAAATGTAGTAATGTCGGATTCTCTTCTGGACCTAAAACGTACCCGAAAATCTCTTTTTTTCTCAAATCGTGATCGCTTAAAGATTGTTGTCTCAAAAAATTTGCACATTATTTTTTATTTTTATTCTTTCTATTATCATACAATAATAAAAAATAATAAAAAATGTATATTACAATATCAGTGAAATAAAAGTGTCTATCAAATATATGACTTTTATTCAATATATACAAGAGATTACTTACTCGTACAACTTTTATGGGTGGGCACTATACCGTTCGGGGTGGATAAAAGATTGAAATGAGGAGGCATATTTTTTTGAAATGCATGGACCATCCAATTGTCAAACTTTTCTCGGTCAGTAGAACTGAAGCCGAAAGTCTATAATAGATAGAAAAGAGACAAGTGAATTAAATATTTGAAAATTTTGTGTTGATCGTTTATTTACAAAAATAATGATAAAGTGATGGAACTAAAAACGAATTATTTGTTATTTCTCTTATAAAATAACTGAATCTACAAATTATCGTTAAAATCTAGTATTAAATTAAACTAATTTTTGTGGAAATCTTCGAATCAAATTACCTGGCACATAAATTCAAGGGGATTGTCGTGCGCCCTAAGAATCTGATCTAATTCCCTAAGTCTACTTTCGCATTTGACTTGTCTAACGCCGAGCGAACATCCATTCTTGATTATTCTCACGCCGACCAACATAGAGACTTCGAGACATCTTTCGGGTATTGAAAATTGTAAGGCGTAAGGATTTCTTCTTTTTACGTTGCTAATGTCGATCGCGTCGCCGCAACGATCAACAATCACAGAGACATTATCTTTGGGACTCAACGGATCGTTTAATAAAACGATTATTTTATTCTGTCCCTGCGAACACAGTGCATATATTCTTTTATTTTGTAGTGCATTCAGCATTTTTTATTTTGAAGTTTTCTTTAATTATCATGTATTCTATGAGCAAATGATAAAAATATTCACGCGTATGTAAAGTTGATATTTTTCCTATTATTTAAGCATTATTATTTTTTAAGTCTTTTAGCAATTTTTTTTATAAAGTCAATATATCTCAAAAGGACTGAATGTCCTTTAATTATAATGATAAATTTGTTGCAATTTGCTACGTTCTTCTTGTATCTCCTGCAATTCTAAAATATTTTAGAACTCTCTTCTATAGACATACGGTAAATTAAACCTACCAGTTTAACCTTCTTTGGATGCACGGAAAATGCAGTTTTGTCGCTTCTGAGAGCTGGCGGCGGCATAGTGCCTAGAATGGCAACCGCTGCACCCAACAATTCCCCGACGAATGTCTCGTCCTGGTCCTTCACGAAAAACTTTCTCCATTCATCACAGGAAACTAGGCTGGATTTATAAGTGTTGTTGATGTGACTGTCATGAACACCCAACATCATCGCTAGTACTTTTTCGGGGACCAGATGGTTGGTCAGATGGACGGAGTGCTCCGGGTTGGTCCGGACGCGTTCCAGCAATACCGGGCACACGATGACGATCTGAAGGCGAGAAGATCGGATCTTCTGTTCTGTTTTCGGTACTATCGGTTCCTCAATAGCGATGTGACGTACTCTGAGAAATGTTTTTGGTTGAAATTGTAGCACGAAAAAAAAAAACATTTTGCTTTATACTTACTTGAACGGCGGCCGTCCTTGTTGACGGCTGATTTGCTCGAAACATGCGGTGAGGTAGTTAACCCATAGATTAGAAGCCTCGCTTTCCTTGCTAGAGACGAAGACGACATCGTCCTCTGCGTGTCCGTCTTTTGATAAGACTGTAGCTGAGTGCGACCCTGAAACAAGCAATTGAAACATCAAATTAATTGGCTCAAGTATCTGTAAGATTGCTTCTCATATGGGGACATACAAAAAAAATTCACAAATAACTTTAGATAAAAAAAAACACAGATAGTAAAATATTCTTCTGGAAGTAGAAATGATTGGATAGTTTTATCAATAAACGATAGTATTAAAATAATATTGAGGTTTAATTATGCAATTTAATTGTCTAAATTTATTTATTTGCAACAAATTAATTTATGATTTTATCTGGATTTTTCCTTATATGTTAATTTGCTGTTCTTTTTGGCAGTTCTTTAATTTTCATAATGTGTCACAAGCACTTGATTCAGCTTTGTCATGACGCACGGGAATGCATTTAATTTTCTGTGACGCACATTACAGAACACGCAATATGGTTGTAATACAATGTGGGTGAAATAATAACCATGAATAACGCGACTACCTCGTGTTACACGTGAAAATAATGATTATAAAATGATGAAATTTCATAAAATTCTAACGCGGAATTAGCACATCGTGCAGCTGGTAACTTAAATCAATTGAATGAATTTAACGTGATATTGTTGATACATAACTCGGATACAGAATACGCGTGACAATCTCGCTCCAATTGAATGTTAGTAGAAGCAGATAATCATTTATATTAATATTTACATGTTAATATTTACATTTTTCTGTTTAATTACAATATTTATATTTAAAAAATATTCTGACATATACATATAAAAAAATATTTTAAGAAATTTTAAGGAAGGATTTAAAAAAAATTGTTTCTGGATAAAAAAATATTAAAAATGTAGTTTTTTTTATTTCCCGCACAATTTTTGTAGAAT